CCGATCCACGAAGTTTCCTCTGGTGTGGCAGTCATACCTTATGCTAGCAGATTCTTGGGGTTTAATGGCATTCTGCAGCAAAATTGTGTTTCCCTATTTGTTAGAAAACTAAATTCAAATTATGTCTAGGTAAATAATCCTGGGATCATGGTGATACACAGATGCATATATCATTTCTGTAAACACTAGACTTGGGTATTGAGTTGTGGGTATGTGTTGATGAATGAGGGTCAAAGTTTATGATGAGTCTGTATCTCCTGTTAAAGATTATGAAGTAACTACATACATAAATATGGTAATTTGAGATTTTAAGTAGGTTCTTTGCTTACAGAAGCAGAACTTGAAGAGCGCTTCGTGAAGAGGAGCGCTCTACAAGCAGAACATTTATCTAATGCTGATGGGAGATGCAACATGAATTTTCCAGCCTGCTTAGTCATCGTACACTTACTCAAAAAGAAGGCTTTAGCTTAGGGAGTGATCAGTGAGCATAGATTTTTTTTTTTTTTTTTTTTTTTTTTTTTTAAATCTTGAGAATCAGTATTTGCCTTCCTAGTGTGCTGTTTTATACAACCTACTTACGGAGTTGGAGAAAGCTGAAATTATACTTTGTTTGCCCTAGAGTGCTCTTTAAAATGCTGTAGTTATGTGTTCTCTGTTCTAAAAATTCAATGAGACACACTTGTTGCCTTGATTTTAGAAAAATAGTTGATCATGTTGATTGGATGACATCTCCTGAGCAAGTAGCAGATGCAGTGAAACGCTTCAGGTATGTCATTTATCATAGATGTTAAATATGTAGTACTTGCCAATTGATGTCTAATATCTGTATATCCTTCCTGTTCATTTTATGTGTGGAAGTTATTATTACTGTACAGAATTCCAGTTGGAGCATACACTGGTTTTTATGTGCGTTAAGTGAGGGAAAGTAATTGTCACATGAAGAGTATTTTTGAGTTTTCTCCTCTTCCTTGAAGTTCTTTGTTACCGGGCTAGAAGAGCTAGAGTATGCGTGTACTTATGAATTTCATCATATTACTGGATGAAGTGTGCTGTTTGCCTTGATGAAGACATGTGCATGCCTTGCCTTAAAAGACAAACAACTATTACTGAAAAAAACCTAGCTCTAAGTTGATACGTTTCGCATGTGGGCAGATAACAGTGAAACTTAAGTCTGAATTTGAAAGTATCAAAGGCTCTGTCATTCCATTTCCTAAAAGTCTTCATGGCTTCTGCAATATTGTTGAGTGAGAGCCAGCCCCCTTACCTTTTTTTTTTTTTAATGCGGTGAAAGAGATAAAGTAGTGCAATGTATTAGCCAAAGGGTCATACTTTGCAGATACTCTGTTATTTGTTAATAAAACCGACTAAGAATGTGCGCTTCTTACTCAGAAAAAGAATACGTCATTCACTGAGGTGAAATAGCTTTTTAGACAGAGGCACGTTTTTATACTGGGCTTTATATTACCCTGAAACTCCTTCATCTCAGCTTTAGCTTATTGATAGGCTAACCAGTGTCAAAGATCTAATGAAGCAATTAATAGACCTAAGCCTGGAGTCTCCCAGTGGCAGTAGAGACTGATTGGCAAAAACAAATCTTAGATATATTTTATGTAACAGCTATGTGGTATTTGAATGTTTTTGGTGGGTAGTACTTTCTTAAAATTTTCTTTCATCTGATTCTTGTGTATAGTAGCTAGTAATAGATTCAGTGTTTTATACTTCTTGCTTTTGATTTCTTTTTTGCCTTTTCCCATTCTAATATTTGAAGTGTATGTTAGGTTGCGTGCAAATTACTTTCTTGTATTTGTTTTATGAGATAGCTTTGAAGGATTAAAAAGAGCCTTTGATTTGAAAAAATTTTAATGTATTTTGACAGATTTGCTTTTGTTACAGAGATGCTTTTTGGCCCAACGGCATTTTAGCAGAGACTGTTCCACGGAGGGACAAAGCCATTAGAATGAGAACAAGAGTGGCAGGCAAGACTAAATTACTGGAGGTGATGCCAGGTAAGTGAGTCTGGAATTGAAGCATAATAATCCTTACCATATATTGTTACTGGAATTAGTGTCAGTATTCTTGTTGATTTGTTGATATGTTGAGAAGAAATGTTGACATATGAATGCTATTTAAATTAAAATATTTTTAATTATGAAAGTATTGAACATTTTCACATGTAGTATGACTTTGCAACTGTGTTTCTCTTAGAACCAACCCAGTATTTAATTTCACTAGAGGATTTAAGTTTAGTGCATTAAATATCTATATTCCAATACAACATGATTTCATGTAAAATAATGTGGTTCCACATATATAGGGTAAAAGTGAAGTAGTTTTCAGAAATCCTTTCTGCTATGAGAGGACTTTTAGTTTAGTCATGTTGTATGTAATAGAGGCACTGTTACTTCAAACTCCAGGCTACGTAATTTGAAAGACTTAATATTCAGTTTAAGTTTGTTAACACAGAAACAGAATTTAGCTTAAACTTCGGTGTAACTTTCATCTCTATAGATGAACTGAAGCACATCATAGGCGCTGAGACAACACGGAAAGGCATTCTTCGGGTCTTTGAAATGTTCCAGCACACTCAACTGAATAAGAGAATGGTGTACGTGTTTCTGGAGAGATTCCTAGAAACGTTGTTTCCACAAAATAAGTTCCATGAGCTCTTCAACAAACTGCATTCACGATCAAAGCAGATGCAGAGATATAAGCAGAGACTACATTCTACTCAAGCGCCTTCCTTACAGAAAAGGTGACACTTCAAACATATTAAGCTGGTGTATGTTTGTCCAGGACTAATTACTTGGGCAGATTCTCTGGGGCTTCAAACTCACATGCTGTTATTTCTGCACCAGTCTTCTAGTGTCACATATTAGATTATTAATGCATCTGTAAGATCTGTGGATCTTCTCATCTTCACTTGTATTTCAACCACTACCAGAAGGGTTTGTGTGTCTTAAATGATTTGGTGCGTCTTCATGCAACATTGAGAAGAATACTGGCCCAATATATAAGAATGCTGATTCCTTCCGTTCCTGAGTTGATGTTTTGCCAGCAATGAAAAGTGCCAGACTGTTCAAGTAAAGCACAACTGTGGTGATACAATGGAAGGAAAGGATGTTTTGGCACTGGGAGATAGTGCAATGTGTGAGAATCAGGTGGAATTGTTCTGCGTTATGACTGTTGAGGCTCTGTAGGGCTCTCTTAACATTCCTGTAAAGGCTGAGCTAACAGGAAAAGCAGTCTCTGGAATAGCAGGTTCATAGGAGAGGGAAGAAATAGTTCTAGCCCCATCATAAAAGTACACTTATTAAAAAAACATTGAGGTAATGTCTCTTTTATGCCTCTTTTACATCACCTTACATGTTTTGAAAAATAAACTAACATCAGATATAATGAGGATTTTAGTAAAGGCAGAGATGCAGTAGAAACAAACCCTTTATTCTGATTATTCTGTAGCTTTAAGGGCCATATTCTGCTCTTACAGCACCTGGCATACATTTTGCATGTAACTTCAGTGGAGAAGGGGCATCATATTTATGTTCAATTGGCGTATTTGAACATATGTCAAGCTGATAGTTGTAGAAGGAAGGGGGTACATGTTTCAAAGAAGATAGACATCATGTTAGAAGATGAGGAAGTTGCACTAGGACACAGTTTACACACAACTCCCCACTAAAATCTGAAACTTTTTTTGGGTGTAAAAGACTGTCCTACTTAATTGAAAGATTCCTTACCTTTTAGTGTGTAAGCCTCATACGGAAAAATGTTAGAATTACTTGGTTCCTCACAGGTAAAAGATTTCATTAGTCATATGCAAACACTTGGAAATTCCTGAATGCATCTCAGTGTATATATGAAAATAAAAAGGAGATAAAACTACAATATTTTTTTAAATAATTTTTTTATTTTTTTGCATAGTGTAAAATTTTAATAAAAATTTGACATCAAGGCCCCACATCCGTTTAGTTTCAGTGAAGAATTTCTGTCCAATTAAAAATAAAGTAACAACTAAATAATCCTGTTTGGCCACAGCGTATCTCAGTTTGTGTTTTCTTTTTCATAGTCCCCTACTGTTTGAGCACCACTATCTGGGTGAATAGAAAGTAATCCTATAGAGTCCGTTTTTTTTCTGAACGCTAAACACAGAGTAAGATACAGCTATTGATCAAGGATCCTTATAGTAATTTGTGTCTTGATGGGAACAAATGATCCTTTTATGTGAGGGAGGAAAATAGACCTTTTATGAAAGCGTTCTAAGAGAAGATGGAAGGCTCTCAAAGGACCTAGTTAAGTTGACTGAAGCCTCTACATAGATCTTTTTTTTCTCATGGACTCTATTAATACAATGTAGCCTTTTATCATACTACTTAATGATGATCATATTGTACTGTTAACATTCTCATACAGTATGCATGGGCTCAAGTGCACTTTTTTTCTTTATTGCAGAACTAAATACTGTAAATGAAATCCCTTTCTCTTATAATCCGTAGGAAGACAAGTTGGTAAATATGTAAGAACCCTTCCACTTCCTCTCTGCAGGTTCTGTAGAAGCGTGATGATTAAGTGCTGTTGAATTAAACAAAATTCTTGAGTTCTATGTGAAATAATAAACATAGCCAGCTCCTGTTGTTTACATGCCTCTATTTTCCTCTGATGTCAGGGTGCTCAAGCATACCTGATATCTGACCGACGGAAGATCGTTGAGAAATTGTTCTTGGCGATATAATAAATATATCATTGATCATACCCAACTTAATTTATGTCTTTTAAATCACTGAATTTGTTATGCAGTATGAAAGTGGGAAGTTTAAATACTGTTTTGTCAAATCTGTGGAACCTTTTATCTGTTGTAGGTACCATGAAAAATTTCAAGAGAATAGTGATCATGTACAAATTTGGGATTTTATTTTTTAATTATCAGGTACATTTCTGTACAAAAATAAAATCTCTAGGAATGTGAACTGAACATAATACAGCGTGTTTATTAGTCATTTTACTTATTGAATTTATTACATTTATATACCTATACACACATTTATATACACATGTGTGCATATGTATATATGTATTAAGTTTTGTCTTCTGTATTTAATTACAGAATGTGGCTTCCTAATTCAGTGATGCCTGTTGGCTGGCAAGAATCATCAGAAATTAATACTTTTTGTTAAAAAGAGTTTGTATCTATCTTTATTTAAATGGTTTTCCTGTTGACAGTTTAAAATACCTGCCCTGTCAACCCATGCAGCCTATTATCCTAGAAAGTTTCCAAAACTGAATGTTAATATACAGCACTTAAGTGTCTGGATTTATCTTCTGGCCTTTGGATGCCGTGACTAGCCGCTGAAAATTGTGCCGTTGTCAACAAATGCACTTGTTTTAGCCTTAATTATTTTTAAGAGAAAACGAGCAATTGAATTTTTCATTTGGTTCATCCTCAAGCTTGTGCTGGTGATGTTTGCTAGAACTAAACAGTAAATTTTAAGTGCTACCAGAATGTGTACCAAAATAAAAATATATGAATTCCACAATCTGAATTTTAATTTTGTGCAATATTTTCATTTAATGCATGTGTGTTTGAATAACTGTAAAATAAATGAATTTTTAATGTTTTGAAGTCTAGGTTAAAAATGTCTTCTCAGCTGAACAATTTTGCATTCTGTTGTTGCGTTAGTTTATTTAAGGACTTGTTTTAAAAGTCTTGTTTGTTACTCCTTTGTTAATTCCCTTGTTTTCAATGATCCTTGCTTATCTGAGCAAAGCTCATATATTACAAGGGAAAAATCTGAAGAGCACATCTCAAGAATATAGCTGTTATAAATTACTTGTGCATATCATTGTACAGTAAGTGTCAGCTGTGTGCCTAATTGTTCTATTGATGCTTTTTCCCTCCCTTTCCCCTCCTCTTGTTTCCGTAACAAAGAATGAACATGAAACAGGCTGCCATGGTCACTTTTACTGAATCGCAGAGGACTCTGAATTTTTTTTGGAGTTTGCATTTATGTTCTGTCCAATAGAAATCTAAAAAATTACACTAATAAAGTATTAACAGGATTATTATGAGTGTCTGTTTATTTTTAAAGTAACTTTCACGCTAGCAGGTTTATTTATTTTTTTAAAACATTTTATGAACAGGTTTTGCTTTTAACAAATTAATCTCCACATTCATTTTCAACCAGCATTTGCAGAGTGTCCTGTATTTTAAAAGGACTTGTGCAGGAACAGTGGGATTGTATGGTGTAGGAATTTTTTTTAATATTGCTGTGTGTTTTTACTCTGGCTTTTTCCTCCTGGGTGTCTACCATGGGAGCACAATTGTTACCCTTGAGATATTTATTCCAGCTGTTTCACATTCATCAAAAAGATATCCTGAGTTACAGAGATGTTAGTTCTTTGACCTCAGGGTAAAGTGTTGACCGCTTTCACTAACTTGCACACTTTTGCTACAGGATATAGACACATCTCAGGAATTTCATTCGCTGATTGCAAGTTCCTGTTTGCTAAAGGATAATTTCATGGCAAGAGATTGACTCCATTATAAACTTTTAAAATTCTGAAAGATATCTGCCACTTGCAAATGAGGGTAATAGTGTCTGTGGCTTATTTAACTCTCCAGTCTATCACACTTTCTGGTTTATTTTGCTTTTTATGTCTAGTGAGTGTGTGAGGATTGCTGAAGTTTTTGTAAAGTTCAGTAATCAGCATCACTCTGCATTGATCTATTTAACTACAGATTTCATGATTTATCTCTTGAAAGAAAGGAAATTATGTAATGAAAACAGTGAGTTCACTTTTGTGATGTATTTTGAAAGAAATTAAGCTTTATTTTCATGAAATACTTGAAATGTACACCACTGCAGTTTCCCCCCCTATGCACACAGAAATATGTTTGAATACTTTCATATTCAAATAATTCAAATAACTGTTTCGCATGCCATATCTCTGAATTACTATGGCATGTTGGGGTTGGGATAATCTGCATGGGTCAGTTAAAATTATATGATACCTGATTCAGCAAGGGCTAACTGGAATTCTGATTTGTCATTTTAGAATTTGAATAGTACATATATTAATTCTGAGATTGGACTAAAGTAGAGAATGAGTTTATATTGAATTTGTTGGCAATCAAGAGCTATTTATTAGAGGTAAGGAATGTAGCTTTCAAAAACAGACTTGCTCTTTCTTACTGTAACAATTTTAAAAGTGAATCCTGAGTAGTCTTTTGAGTCTGTGCTGAATTTTCCCAGCTTGAGGTCTAGAAACATGCTAATCCTGAATTAAGTTGAGAAAATTTTCTGTTACCAACTTACTGGAGTTTTAGGTAAGATATTCTCATAAAATTGTGAGACTTGGGAACACTCTTCTTTGTTTAGAACATGTGGAAGATAGTTCTGCGAGTTACCTGGTTATTCCATGCACAGACTAGCTAGAACTTGAAAGAAACTTCTACTTTTTGTGTTCGTTTTCTTAAAATAGCCAGCCCATGCTAAGGTGGGTGCAAAACTTTCTTTGCAGAAATCATCTCGTGTTAGCAAGATACAGGTTTCTTATTTTTCAGTGTGAAAGTGAAGTTAGAATTTGATTATCAAAGAACATTTCCTTTTTGTTTTCAAGGACTTCATACAAAACATTCCTTTATAGTCTGTTTAAAAAATTGGTTTCACATCTTACCTGTTCAATTTTATATTATCTATGTTGATTTAAATCACTGGCTTCCCAGTAATCGCTAACATCATTTTTGCAAACAAACAAGGCTTAGCTTATAACTAATGTAAAAACATGAGAGGTATTTTGGGGAGAACAGGATAGGGGCTTCATTCCATGTTCTACTGTCCTGGGTAATCGTATCAGTGGAAAAGGGAAACTGGCATGCCATGCAATTAGAAATTCACCAATTTTGCTGACTCTGTGCAGTGCCATGTAAAGGAAACACGGGCCCAAGGTTCTTCTGTGTATCACA